GAGCAGAGGGGCCTAGCCTGACTGTGCCTGAGCACATCATGTGATTCCTCAAATCCTCCAGATGTTAAAGAGCCATGGACAAGACTACCTTGTTGGCAACACGCTGAGCAGGGCTGACATTCACCTGGTTGAACTTCTCTAGTATATGGAAGAGCTTGACCCAGCCTTCTGGCCTACTTCCCTCTGCTGAAGGTGATCTCTCTCACAGCTTTCAGGAGGGAAGGCTCACATCTCCCACCTCAGGATTTGACATTTGGACTCTGGTTCCATCATTGTTCCTTCTCAGCCCCACAACTCCCTCCAGAGTTAGGTCCTAGGGGCTGGTTGAAGCACAGAATCTTGTCATGCCAAGGACATTTGAGGTGGATGCTTCCCCAAGAAGAATAGATTGTCTTCACCAGGAGAAGGACCCAGGGCTCAGCATCAACCTCCCCATCCCCATTCCATTATGGTTTCTGTCCTTGTTTTCTCTGGGGTTTCCCTTATCCAGGTGTATCCTTCGTGTGTCTGCCTGAGCGGCTCTCCTTCCTCCCGCTTCCTTCCGTCCACTCCTGCTCCTAGTGTTTCTCTGGGCAGAGTCTCCCTCTCTCCCTGTCCCTCTCTCAGTGGGCTGACTGGTTTTGACCAGTCTCATGGTTTACCTTTCTATATTTTCTGTCTTCTGTTCCAGGACAATTTTCCTATATTTTCATCTGTCTGGAGACTTTATGTGTGTTGGTATCTGACAGACACATTCCTCTTCCCTGGGTTGCACAAGAGTGATGAATCTATAGGATTTATGTGTAGGGAAGGAGATAGGGAAAACCTGAAACCAAAATGAGTCTGAAAGAAAGATGTTTTTGGGGCAAATGGCATTGAGCTGTCTTTTCTCCTCCAACCCTCATGTCTCCCTGGGTGTCTTTTTCAGCCACACACTGGTGCTGATGGAGGGGACTCAGCTGGTCCTTGCAGGACGGTCTATGATTCCTTGGCTTGTGCTAGTGATGGGGTTGGTCTTTGGCTCCGTTCTGAGGCTGTGCCCTTGTGCATTGCAGAATCAGCAATCTCCCCACTGTGAAGAAGTTTCTGCAGCCTAGCAGCCAGAGGAAGCCTCCCATCGATGAGAAAAGTTTAGAACAAGCCAAGAAGATTTTCAGGATTAAATGAAGCAGGAATGGATGTCCAGCACATGCAGAACCAATCTGCTGAGGTTTTCCAGCAATGAAGTGCGTTGCCTAAATGTAAATCCTGGCTATCATGAGACTAGGAAAAGTTGCCAAGGTTTAGTGGTAATTAAATAATAATGCTCCTATGAGCCAATTTAACTTTTTAACTATTATTTATTCTTTTTCATTAGGATCAAATATAAAATCAGTATTCAGTCCCTCTATTCTGTCTCTTGGAATTAAAAATTAACATAGGAAAACATAGATTATGTGGTCTCTTTGATCTTTCTAGGAATTGTCATATAACATTTGTTACCTAGCCTTTCAAAGAGTTGAGTGTAGAAATTCATATCTGACCTTCTCATGTACCCACAGGAAAATAGCTACCCCTCTGGGTAATGCCATAAAAATATGTTCTTGTTTCATCTTTGGGAGTCATTTTTCTTTCTATAATAAAAATGTTTTGGGAATGGTGTGTCTGGAAATGGTGATAACATTGCCCAGGGCTCCGAGTACACCTCGATGGCTCAAGGGTGTGAGTCTGGGCTTTGGGAATTTCTCACAATTCCCCTGCCTGACGTCTGTGTTCATTTATCCATGTCTCAAAATATATTTATTCATCTCACTCAAATGTGATCTGTGGACCTTGCTTGGATTCTGATGCCAATAAACCAACTGTACAGAAAACTTCATGAGACATTGGGGGAAATTTGAATGCTGAAAATTTAATAAAAGTCAGGAATTAAAAAGTGAGCATGATAGGAGAATAGTATGGTTCTGTTTAGCCAAAGTGTTTACCTTTTACAGATTACCATGCTAAGTTTTTGATAGATGGAGTGATATGCTGTCTAGGATTTGCTTCACAATAATCCCATGGTATTGGGGGCAGTAGGTGGGAGTACATACTAGTTTCTCATGGTTACTCTACCAGTTACTACAAATGGGTGGCTTAGAACAACACAATCCACACTTTCAGAGGCCAGAAGTCCAAAGTCAAGAGGCCAGCTGGGTTGTACTTCCTCCAGAGGCTCGAGGGGAGAATCCTTCCCTGCCTCTTGCAGCTTCTGGTGGCTTTCTACAATCCTTGCTTCTCTTGGCTCAATGCCACATCACCTCCCTCTCTGCCTCTACCTTCAAACAACCTCACATCTGTGTGTCTGTGTTTTCTCTTCTGTTATAAGGACATGCATTATTGGATTTGAGATCCACCCAGGTCATCCAGGATGATTTCATCTCAAGTTCCTTAATTTCATGACCTCTGCAAAGACCTCTTTTCCAAATAAGATCACATTTCCAGGTTCCAGGGATTTGGACATTTAGGAGGCCTGCGTACCACCCACTACAGGGTGTTGATGAAAAAGGATTGTTGGCAATTGCTGAAGCAGGGGGATCAGTACATCAGGATTTGTTATACTATTTTCTCTACTTTGGGATTTGCTAAACATTTTCCACTTAATTCTTTTCTTTTTTAAAAAAAATATTTTATTTATTTATTTTAGAGAGAGACAGAGAGAGAGAACGAATGCATGAGGGGGGTGGAGAGAGGCAGAGGGAGAAGCAGACTCCTCGCTGAGCAAGGAGCCAGACGCGGGACTTGATCCCAGGACCCCAGGATCATGACCTGAGCTGAAGGCAGACGCTTGACTGACTGAGCCACCCAGGTGCCCCTCCATTTATTTTCAAACACTGTATTATTTATTGAGCTCTCTGTGCCAGGTGCTGTGCCGGGCAATGGGAGCTTGACTGAAAACAAGATGAAGATCCTTTTCCCAAGAGTTCATAGCATGGGGGAAATTGATATTAAACATATAATGTCAAAATACTGTGAGAAAGGACATAATAGGGGACAAACAGCAGCTCAAGGTAGAGTATTCCAAACAGAACAAATAGTAAGTGCAAAGGCCCAGAGGCTAGGAAGGCTGACTGGAGTGAGGAAGAGAAGAAAAAGCATAAGAACTGAGTTTCCAGATTTAGCAGAGAAAATACAGGACACCAGTTAAATATGAATTTCAGGTAAACAATAATTTTTTAGTGTAAGTATGTTTCAAACAACGTTTAGGACATACTAATACTAAACAATCATTTATTTTTTAAAAGCTTGTATCTTTTTTTACTAAAAATTTGTTTTTAATTCTAGTATCAGTAACATTAACATGTTACATTAGTTTCAGGTATACAATATAGTGATTTAACAATTCTATACATTACTCAGAGCTCACATGACAAGTGTACTCTTAATCCCCATCACCTATTTCACCCATCCCCCACCCACCTCCCTTCTAGTGACCGTCTGTTTGTTCTCTGTGTTTGAGAGTCTGATTTTGTTTGTTTCTCTTTCTTTTTTTTTTTTTTTTGTTCTGTTTCTTATAGTCCACATATGAGTGACATCATATGGTATTTGTCTTTCTCTGACTGGCTTATTTCACTTAGCATTATACCCTCTAGGTCACTCTGTGTTGTTGCAAACGGCAAGATTTCATTCTTTTTTATAACAGTAATATTCCATTGTGTATATGTGGTATGTATTTATCCACTCGTTCATCTGTGTTTAACCCATTCTTTACCCATTCATCTATTGATGGACACTTGGGTGGCTCCTATACCTTGGCTATTGTAAATAATACTGCAATAAACATAGGGGTGTATATATTTTTTGCATTAGTGTTTTCATGTTCTTTGGGTAAATACCCAGTAGTGGAATTACTGGATCATATGGTAATTGTAATTTTAATTTTTGAGGAACCTCCATACTGTTTTCCACAGGGGTGGCACCACACTGTTCCTACCAGCAGTGCACGAGGGTTCCTTTTTCTCCACATCTTCACCAACACTTGTTGTTTCTTGTGTTTTTGATTTTAGTGATTCTGATGGGAGTGAGGTGATATCTCATGGTGGTTTTGATTTGCAATTCCCTCACGCTGAGTTGTGTTGAGCATCTGTTCATGTGCCTGTTGGCTATCTGTATGTCTTCTTTGGAGCAATGTCTGTTCGTGCCTTCTGTCCATTTTTAAATTGGATTATTTGTTTTGTGGGTGTTGAGTTGTAGAAGTTCTATATATATTTTGAATATTAACCCCTTAGCAGATATATCATCTATAAATATCTTCTCCCATTCAGGAGGTTGCCTTTTTATTTTGTTGATTGTTTCTGTTCTGTGCAAATCTTTTTATTTTGATGTAGTCCCAACAGTTTATTTTTGCTTTTATGTCCCTTGCCTCAGGAGACATATCTAGAAAAATGTTGCAATGGCCGATGTCAGAGAGATTACTGCCTCTGCTCTCTTCTAGGATTTTTATAGTTTCACGTCTCACATTTAGATCTTTAATCCATTTTGAGCTTATTTTTGTGGGTGGTATAAGAAAGTGGTCCGGTTTCATTCTTTTGCTTGTAGCTGTCCAGTTTCCCCAACACCATTTGTTGAAGAGTCTGTTTTTCCCATTGTATATTCTTGCCTCCTTTGTCGAAGATTAATTGACCATATAAACGTGAGTTTGTTTCTGGGCTCTCTCTTCTGTTCCATTGATCTATATGACTATTTTTTGTGCCAGTACCAAAAAAATCATTTATTATGTGTCTGAAACTCACATTTAATTGGGTGCCCTTATTTTATCTAAAACCCAATATAAACAGTATTCCAGAGATCTACTTGCCATTTACGGACATCAGCTCCCTGCTAGGCTCATGTAGCGGTTTCTCATCTACCTTGGACCTGGCATCCAGTTCATGAAAACCTCACAGTCAATTTCTTCCAAAAGCCATACTCCACTGACTGGCAGAGAGAGTCCAATCAGTCTGAAATTGTTTAATCTTTTAATTGCCAACCTTGAAAAGGTACATATTACCCAGTTGTTTCATAAGAGGATGACTCGCCATTTCCTTCTAATCTAGCATGGGAGCCAAGGCCCTGAACACTGTGGGAGTAACTTTTCCCTCACTGAACTCTACCCTTATCAGAAAGGAGGCGTTACTTACTGTCAAAGAGCTTATAAACGCATGAGGGGTTGGCATGGAGCTGCTGAGCCTCCTGGAAGAGTGACTTTAATAAGGTAAGTACTGCTTTCATACATCTTCTGATGTTGCCTCACATCCTCATCTCTAGGTTACCAGAAAACTACTTTAAAATGTGTCCTTAGCACAGGGAAAAGTCTGTTTTATACTCACATTGTGCCTTCTTGGTGTGTTTAGGGGATAGTTCAAGAGTTGTTTACTCAATTGCTGTTGGATACATTTTTACAGAAATGTAAAAATGAAGAGATTCGAAAACCAGGGCATGAGAACGTAGATAGAAAAATAGTCATGGTATGAGGGGGAAAAGAATGAAAGCATTTCAGCAATCCGACAATATGACAAGAGCAAGAGCGAGCAGACGTGTTTGTGCCAGCCTGACTTTCTCTATAGGTATAGCGCCCCCCCTTATGTGTGGTTTCAGTTACCCAGGGTAACCAACCACAGTCTGAAAATATTAAATGGAAAATTCCAGAAAGAAAAATATTCATAAGTTATCAATGCACATCACTTTTATTACAGCATATTGTTGTAATTGTTCTATTTTATTACTAGTCATTGTTGTTTACCTCCTACTGTGCCTAATTTATGAATTGAACTTCATCATAGGTATGTATGCATAGGGCAAAAACATAGTCTATATAAGGTTTGGTACTCTCCTGGTTTCAGGCATCCCCTGGGGGGTCTTAGAACATGGCCACGCAGATAAGAACTATTGTAGTCAACCCACAACGGTTGTGAATTATGATACTGCAATGTTATGTAGCCTGTAAAAATTAAGACTTACTATAATAGAAAAAAATATCAGCAGAACTAGATTCCAAGTCTCTGCTCTGATTAGCTAGCTGGCGAGGCCCATTCTCTCTCTAGGGTTCAACCAGCTCATGGCAACCTAGAGCAGGGCTGGAGCAGGGTTTCACAACCTTGGTACTATTGACACTTTGGGCTGGCTTATTCCCTGCTGTGGGGAGCTGTCCTGCTAATTGTCCTTTTGTTGTTGTTTAGTTAAAAAATATGTATTGTAGAAATGTACATTTAATTCATTTTAAAGAACATACTTGACAATAATCTTAACATACATATTTCCTCAAATTTGGAAACTTCACACCTTTAAAATATCTACAGTGATAGTTTATTTACAAGTTTTATAAGAAATGGTCACTTCATCAATACTGTTGACACAGTTTAGATTCTCATAGTGTCTGTCCATTTCATTCAGTACTTGTAGAAAGAGCGCAGTGCGGGGTAAGGCTCCATCCGAGTGCCAGTGACGGACAGCCTGAGGAGCAGAACGAGAAGTCCCAATGGCTAACAGGAGCATGAGTGTATTTTCCAAAATGGCCATGCGCTCTCTCCTGGAAAGACTACATAGATACAGCAGCCAACTACAATCAATCATAAGATATTTCCAACTAAATATCCAATAAATGTATCTGTCAGGATAACATGGTTGATGAAAAATAGGCAGATAAATTGCAGAATGACTAGTAGTAGATAAAAAGCATTCAGAGGCACATGAAGCATGGCCTCATGCCACATCAGAAGCTTTTCTGATCTCTACCCAACTGACATTGTGGCACCCGCCCTTCTGGTTTTGACAACAGCAATGCCTCCAGACATTGCCAGATGGCCTTCAGGATGCAGGCGAGCAAAATCACTCCCATTCAAGACTCACTGGCCTACAGGACTTCCCAAACTCCCAAACTCAGGAAGTCTTGATAAGAAAACTAGGTGATCAGCAGAGCATATCATTCATTTTTTTTTTTTTAAAGATTTTATTTATTTGACAGAGAGAGA